ACCAGAGCCCCTATAGGACAATCTTATAATACATTATCGAACCGTAGAGTCTTACTTTGTAACTCCTCGTTTCTCAGTCCGTAAATGATCCTTGATAAAGAATATAACAACAGAAGAGTATTACACTACGTCTACCAGCCACTGCTAGTCAGTCCTTTACGAGCCCAACCAGTTTCAATTCTCTTTTTGTAACCATTAAAATGTATTTGCTCTGCATTTCGATAAATTATAGCAAACTCCAGTAAAACCGAGTAATGGCTGTCTAATATTAACAGTCATCATACCACATAAGCTTGTACTAAAAAAGCTAACTTTGTCTGTTCATCCTGGCGATCATCGTCTATGTACGGAACAGTTCATACTTAGCTTTGTAAGCAAGATAGTTTCCTGTGGAAGTGGAAAGCTTGTGTTTCAATTTATTAAAATTATGTTTCACGTTTGAAACTTTTTTTTTTGTTAAATCGAATTATCTTTCTCTCGTTCCTAGTCCGAGGGCAGGGAGAGAGGGAGTCTTTTATCCCGGAGTAGGACAGGGAGTTTCTTCTCTCCCAGGGTAGAGCAGGGAGTTCCTTCTCTCCCAGGTAGGACAGGGAGTTCCTTCTCTCCCAGGATAGGACAGGGAGTTCCTTCTCTCCCAGAGTAGGACAGGGAGTTCCTTCTCTCCCAGGTAGGACAGGGAGTTCCTTCTCTCCCAGAGTAGGACAGGGAGTTCCTTCTCTCCCAGGTAGGACAGGGAGTTCCTTCCTCTCCCAGGATAGGACAGGGAGTTCCTTCTCTCCCAGAGTAGGACAGGGAGTTCCTTCTCTCCCAGGGTAGGACAGGGAGTTCCTTCTCTCCCAGGGTAGGACAGGGAGTTCCTTCTCTCCCAGGGTAGGACAGGGAGTTCCTTCTCTCCCAGGGTAGGACAGGGAGTTCCTTCTCTCCCAAGGTAGGACAGGGAGTTCCTTCTCTCCCAGGGTAGGACAGGGAGTTCCTTCTCTCCCAGGGTAGGGGTCACAATTCCAGGCTGGTGGTGCCAAGAGTACGGTGTGTGTCTGGTTCCTATTATTTGCATGAATAAATCTAAACATTTCTGAGGAATTAGGTTCATTTGATAACAATCACTGCCTCATTAAAACATAATTTACTGATTCAATTATCAATGTCATCAAAATAATAAATGCAAAAAAATTAATTAACACACACGTCATCACGTCAATTTTCATCCTTTGAGTGATGTAACATCTAATTCTTCTATTGTTTATTAAATACTAAAAAGTAAAATTCACTTCTTGAATAAAAAAATGGAAACATGGTAAATAATATCTTGAAAAGCATTTATTATAACATTCAGTATATATTGGTAGTAATGCAGTGTTTCAAACTAATGGACCCAATTTCAAAGCAAACTCCTTTAAAGCTGTGTCCATATATTTGAAACACCCTGTATTTCTATTAATTTATTGGATGGATTAAAGTATTCCTCTGCTTAGAGGCATTAGCTATTAATTTACGTTTTTTATCTCTGAAAATCCAATTTAGGCTCAAATTATGAGTTTCACCTGAAATTGTCTCGGGCTAGAGAGAAGGAGAGAGAGAGAGAGAGAGAGTATATACTCCTCATTTAGTTAAATGTTGATGGAATTCGCACCGAATGGCCAGTGATAAATTATTCCCATGAGAACAAGTGACAACAGGAGGCAGAGAACGTGACCTTGGCAAGACAAACATGGTTAATATATTTCATAGGTAATAAGGAAGGAGGTGCGTCCCAGCCCTCGGTCTGGGGAATGACCACCAACCTTACCTTTGCTCGGATGAACTCTGTTTCAGCTTTTGTATTTATGCCGGACCTACCTGTACTCTTTGCAGATACACAAAGAGCACACACATACAGGCAGAAAAAAATGGCTACATTTGGTTAGATCCCAATAAGTAGGGAGTTAGGAATATTGTGGAAGGTTGAAGATTACTGGCAACAAGACTTGTTCTAAAACTGCCATACTAGGAGAGGTAAAAGAGGCAGAGAATGCGAATCCTAGAGAAATCAAGAACCAGGAGAGGCATGATAATAAAGTGTAAATTACCAAGAGTACTTGAGAGAATAGACCAGGGCATACCACTTGAAAAGCAGGGATCAGAAACAAGGGAGCGCAGCTGGAAACTGAAGAAACAAATGAGTCACATAAATGTTAGGAATTACTTCTTCAGCTCATACGGGTCAGGAAAATGGAATTACATAAGGTGGCGGTGGTGAAAGCAAACACCAAACGCGGTTTTAAATATGGTTGCGGCAGGGGCCCCCCATGTTTACACACACACACACACACACACACACACACACAACACACACACACACACACACACACACACACACACACACACACATACACACACGAGCATGTCTCCGGAAGCACACATCAATCAGATAACTGCTGCAGCTATGGGCGCCTGGCATAAAATCCTGAGAACAAGATCCGATCACCTTAGAAGGAACTACTTCAAGACACTGTAAATCTATGTAATGTCAAGGGGCCCATATCTGGAGGTATGCACACACCTTTGTGGATGGAACCGCACTTTTTTTGGGATACTAGCAGTCAAAAGAAACATACAGCAGAATACAAAAGGTATTGCAACCAAAGTTAGATTCCAGAGTAAGGGAATGTACTTGAAGCACAAGATTGATCAGGAAATCGCCGTACGACACTGAGGCAGAGAGGATCCAGGGGAACGACCAGATAACGACATATAAATGTACATCAAGGGAATGAAGGAGAGACCAGGACAGATTCCAGGAAAAGCGGGACCAGAAACAAGGAGCCACAATGGAAGTGAAGAAACAAATGAGTCAAGAATGTAGGAATACTTTCTTCAGTCATAGACGGTGTAAGGCATGGAATAGACATAGTGACGTAGTGAGGCAGAACCAACCGTTTTAAATGGTTGCGGCGGGGCTATTGAAAAAACATCAACAGGCGCGACACACACGGGCCTATACACACCCGTGAAGAGCGGCCAGCGAGCCAGGACTCGCACCCCTCAACACACAAATAGGTCAGTAAAAAACAAACACAAAATACACATACACACACACATAACACACACATCAATTATGAATCAACCCCTGCAACCACAACTAGGTGAGTACACACACACATGTGCACATTTTTTTTTTATATTTTATTGAAAAACGCAATACACAATTATACATGTAGAAAATGTAAGCAATGAAACGTATCCATTATATATAACAAAATAAAACTCCACATTCCCTACCTTAGCACTAAACTTATACATAAGAAAACACACGTTCAACTAAAAAAGTTTGATACCCCCCCAAAAATAAAGCCCAACCATCACACATAACATACATTAATAAATATAAGACAGCCCCCCAGCTCCAAAATTCAGGTGGGTTTATTCATCCAAAATTGCAGCCATAAACAACAATGTAATATTAACCAAAGAATGTCACAGGTATTGACATTTTACATTAAAACTTATGTACGAAGATATTCTCAATTATCCAAAATTCCTTTACACTACTTATTATTGTTGTATATTAAACTTCATATCAAATACATTAATACATAAAACCTCAATAATCGAAATAACATAAAGGTTAAGAAGAATAAACAATTCATCCACACCTCACCACAAGAAAAACTAAAACACGGGTATAATATAACAAAATGTATTCGTCACATCTCATTCCATTCTACTACATTATCTACAGCGACAAAACTCTTTATCCAAACGAACAAACACTAAAAATTCACCACAAGCGAACAAACACTACATCATCCCACAAGCCGAAAATAACACTACATTCGTCCCACCACACGCAACAACACTACATTCATCCACAAGCGAACAAACACTACATTCATCCACAAGCGAACAAACACTACATTCATCCACAAGCGAACAAACACTACATCATCCACAAGCGAACAAACACTACATCTCCTACAAGCGAACAAACACTACATCATCCTACAAGCGAACAAACACTACATCATCCTACAAGCGAACAAACACTACATTCATCCTACAAGGAACAAACACTACATCTCATCCACAAGCGAACAAACACTACATCATCCTACAAGCGAACAAACACTACATTCATCCTACAAGCGAACAAACACTACATCATCCTACAAGCGAACAAAACTACATCATCACCAACAAACAAAAGCGAACAAACACTACATCATCCTACAAGCGAACAAACACTACATCATCCCACAAGCGAACAAACACTACATTCATCCCACAAGCGAACAAACACTACATCATCCTACAAGCGAACAAACACTACATCATCCTACAAGCGAACAAACACTACATCATCCTACAAGCGAACAAACACCACATCATCCTACAAGCGAACTTACACAATCACGTATATTTAGTAATATTTTGCAAATATAATTTCCATTTTTAAGTAACAAACTTCTTCTACCATATAATGAAATATACATAGTCATTACTATTAAACATTAACTTAAACAAGACTATATTCCTATTCTACAGACCGAAGCATTTCTTGCCTCACCATCCTATACGTGCACATTTAGGGCATGAGACACGTGGAGGTCTAATCTAATTTATCTGGTGATGAAAACCTTTATGAATCAGCACGTCAGTGCCACGACAGAAAGGAGAGAAGGGGATGAACCAGCTAGACTGAACCTGGTCTTCACTTTAGATACAACATAGATGTGAAAGGTAGAGAATATTAATCGTCACCGGGTACGAGGTATCATACAGTCCACATATAGGATTTCTAGGTCAAAATGAACCCGAAAAGCTTCATTAAAGATTGAAACCGAGTTTATTATTTATATATGTCGGTTATTCAAACTGATTTCGAAGCCTAACGCCAACAGTATCACGAACGGAAGTAAGATAACATTAATTACAAGTACTTGCATAGAAATAAAAACATATAATATGCCCTAATATCTTTTTTGTCGTAGTTTTATTAGCTAATAATTGCCTTGCTTCCCCAGAGCCGCTGAAGACACATCCACCAGAGGTCGTCCTGGAGACAACGATGTAGTCTTAATTCAGCCTCCCAGGAACCTACACGACGTTCATCTGAAGTCTCTACGAAACATTTCCTCTCCACTATGCTGATCTTGGGTATGTGCTGCTCTCTGTAATTATAAAAGCTAGACACGTGCGATAGTTCACGTGTATAAAATGTTTGCTAAGAAAGTTTGCCAATTAAGTCTTCTTCAATGAGTATTCTGCTAGTGTGCGTTGCGCTTAAAAAAAGCATATATTTTATAAGCATATATTTTTATAATCATGCATTTTATAAGCATATATTTTATAAGTATATATTTTATAAGTATTTTAATCCTCGGTGTTGCTATTTTATGGTTTCATTACCTAGAGTTATATAGTAAGACTTTTTTTCCACTTGTCACTGCATACGACTGAAGTTACGATTGCTTCTTTGGAAAATTTGCATAAATAATAAATTTCTGTTACGGGGAGACAGTATGTTGGTGGGTAAGGTACGTGTCGTGAAGTTACTTGGGGAGGGATAGTACGTCGGTATGAAAGGTACGTATCGTGAAGTTACTTAGGGGGGGTAGTATGTCGGTGGGTAAGATACGTGTCGTGAAGTTACTTAGGGGGATAGTATGTCGGTGGGTAAGGTACGTGTCGTGAAGTTACTTGGGGGGATTGTATGTCGGTATGAAAGGTACGTGTCGTGAAGTTACTTAGGGGGGGATAGTATGTCGTGGTAAGATACGTGTCGTGAAGTTACCTAGGGGGTAGTATGTCGGTGGGTAAGGTACGTGTCGTGAAGTTACTTAGGGGGGGTAGTATGTCGGTGGGTAAGGTACGTGTCGTGAAGTTACTTGGGGGATAGCATGTCGGTATGAAAGGTACGTGTCGTGAAGTTACTTAGGGGGGGGTAGTATATCGGTGGTAAGATACGTGTCGTGAAGTTACCTAGGGGTAGTATGTCGGTGGGTAAGGTACGTGTCGTGAAGTTACTTAGGGGGGTAGTATGTCGGTGGGTAAGTACGTGTCGTGAAGTTAATTGGGGGGATAGCATGTCGGTATGAAAGGTACGTGTCGTGAAGTTACTTAGGGGGGTAGTATATCGGGGGTAAGATACGTGTCGTGAAGTTACCTAGGGGAGTATGTCGGTGGGTAAGGTACGTGTCGTGAAGTTACTTAGGGGGATAGTATGTCGGTGGGTAAGGTACGTGTCGTGAAGTTACTTGGGGGGTAGTACGTCGGTGAGTAAGGTACGTGTCGTGAAGTTACTTGGGGGGATAGTATGTCGATGAGTAAGGTATGTGTCGTGAAGTTACTTGGGGGATAGTATGTCGGTGGGTAAGGTACGTGTCGTGAAGTTACTTGGGAGGATAGTATGTTAGTGGGTAAGTAACGTGTCGTGAAGTTACTTGGGGGGATAGTATGTCGGTGGGTAAGGTACGTGTCGTGAAGTTACTTGGGGGGATAGTATGTCGGTGGGTAAGGTACGTGTCGTGAAGTTACTTGGGGAGGATAGTATGTTGGTGGGAAAGATACGTGTCGTGAAGTTACTTAGGGGGTAGTATGTCGGTGGGTAAGATACGTGTCGTGAAGTTACTTAGGGGGTAGTATGTCGGTGGGTAAGGTACGTGTCGTGAAGTTACTTAGGGGGATAGTATGTCGGTGGGTAAGGTACGTGTCGTGAAGTTACTTGGGGGGGATAGTATGTCGGTGGGTAAGGTACGTGTCGTGAAGTTACTTGGGGGGATAGTATTCGGTGGTAAGTACGTGTCGTGAAGTTACTTGGGGGATAGTATGTCGATGGGCTAAGGTGCGTGTCGTGAAGTTACTTGGGGGGAATAGTATGTCGGTGGGCAAGGTACGTGTCGTGAAGTTACTTGGGGGGATAGTATGTTGGTGGGTAAGTAACGTGTCGTGAAGTTACTTGGGGGGAATAGTATGTCGGTGGGCAAGGTTCACGTGTCGTGAAGTTACCTGTGGGGGATAGTATGTCGATGGGTAAGGTGCGTGTCGTGAAGTTACTTGGGGGGGAATAGTATGTCGGTGGGTAAGTTACGTATCGTGAAGTTACTTGGCTGGGGCAGAGTGAACAAGAGTACCAACACTTAACAAAGCTCTTCAAAGAACGAGAGTTCTAAGAAGGAAAGCTTGTTCTACTCCCTTATCTTTTCTTTATTGCTGTCGACAGAACGCTACCATATCCAGCGCTATTGTTGTGTGCTCTGTTTTTTTTTTTTGTGTTCAAGATGAGGTTGTGGTTTCTCTTCAAGATGAGTTCGTGTTTCGTGTTCAAATCGAACTTTTCTTAGTTTGTGTTCAATATAAATTTTTTTTTGTTTTCAAAATTTCTTCTGCACTTTTAAGATAAACTTCATCCAGGTTATTTTTTTTTTTTGCATAATGAACAATGAATATCTATATATGCAGTTAATAACTGTGTAATAGAGCACAGAAAAAATGGAATGTGCAGATGTTTGTGAAATATACCAATGATTATGACATATATTGATATTTATGAAATGTACAGATATTTATATGTGCAAATGTTTGTAAAATGCACGAATGTTTGTGTATATTAGTGTAATTAGTTTTTTATTGTCATGAGAAAATTGCATAAGTAATACATAGGTTATATTAATGGAAACCAAGGTTGAATACACTGTAAGAGATGAGACAGGTATATCAATCAATAATGAGGTTAGTAAACATGTAAGGTGATTACAGGTAAAGGTTAATTGGATTTTCACTGATCATTTAATCTTATTAAGTCAACGTTGTACGTGTGAAGGATAAACAAACTTATTTTTTTTTATGCAGCGGCATCCGTCAGTAATCAGTGTGAGAGTTTAGCTGATTAAATTTCTTCAGGGAGAATTATTTGTTTTCAGAATTTGAGTGAGAATTGGGAGGAAAAACATTTAAAGTAAAAAAAGATATTTATTTTTTCCATAGTTCCAACGGAAGAGATGTTCGATATTTCCTATTTTTGTTCGAGGGAGAGGAAATATAACATCTGAGTGATATATTACACCTTAAACTGCTATCCTTTTGAGGATTGTTCATTATCTGAAGTTTTTTTTTTTTGGTGTGATATGTGTCAAATATTACCCTTACATTTAATAACTCTGGGGATATTATAATAAACAAAATATTTTTACTTATTTGCAAATCAGTAGCATTAACGATCATAACAGTGATGTTACCCAGTCACAACAAGCTTTTGGGATTACTGTTAATTAAGTTCCTCCTGCGCATGTTTCCTCGCGTTTCGGCAGACTTCTTCGAGCCTGCAGGAGAAGTGCAGAAATGGAGGACATTAACCCCCAAGAACGTCACTCTGGATCCCCGGGTGGAAGATGTACGGAACGCTGCCTATGGAATCATCGCTCCTCTCATAGTCTCGGTGGGGATGCTGGGCAACCTGCTCACCATAATCATCTTGAGACTGCCACAGTTTCGAGGTAAGGAGTGCCTTCTCTATCACCAGGTAGGCTGGCCGGAAAAGGTGAGTTTCTCCATCATTAGGGCAGAGAAGGATGCTTAGACCGTAATCTATTTAAATGAAGAGAAATGAAATGGAATACTTGAAAAACCTTTACCAGCCTAGTAACCTTTGCCATAGGCGTTTCCTTCTCTTTAACTGATGTCTTAAAATATTTTCCCTATTTTTTCTTAAATGCTTTCCCCTTAAATCATTTTAAGTAGATTCTAAACACCGGCCAGATGTTTAAGAGAACTCTAGCGTAATTCTCTTTTAAGTTAGTCACTGGACAGCTTGTAATGAAGAAAAGATGCTCATATAATGTAATCGTTTACTGTGTTAACGTATGCTGAATTTTATCAAGTCAAATTCCATTTATCATCATAGTTGATAAAATTCTACGCAGAGAGAAACGTTCTCAAAATAAAAGCCTGTTCTGTACCTGTTTCTTTTTCTCAAGTAGGCTGTTGCTACTGCTTCTCTTGCTGATGCTCCCAGATGGATTTAACTTGGCCTCACAAAATAGAGATACTTCTTAAAAAAACACAAAATTCACAATACCGTAAATAGAACAATTCGCCAAAAATCTGCATTTAAGAGAGGTACCTAATGACGACGTTTCGGTCCGTCCTGGATCACTGTCAAATCACAATTGATTTGACAATGGTCCAGGACGCACCGAAACGTCATGAGATTCCTCTCTTGAATGCAAATTTTTGTTGAGTATTGTTCCTTATTGTTAAGAAAGATAGATTTGTATCCCTGCGACGAAAGGGACGATGGCTGGAGCTTAGTATAATTAGTCTTAGCTACCAATCAGGGGGGGGGGAATGATTAATTTGGTTCGATAATTAAATTAAAAATAATAGCTTAATGACTAATCAGTGCTCGATGATTAAGTTTCAGTACTTATACCTTCATTATTCATTTGATTCGATGATTAAATGAGCTTCAGTTTTTTATTATTTGAGGATTAATTAGAGCCTAAAGTTAATTAAGCTTGGTGACTAATAAAGGTACGATGACTAATTAGGGCTTGATGGGTCATGTCAGCCTGAATGTTATTTATGTATAAATGATTAATTAGTTACTGGAATTAATTATTGCCTGTGGAATAATTTATGGTCGATAATGACATAAAACCTGAGGCTTAATTAGGCGAATAATCTTAGGTTGTATTTTGTTAATGTATAAAAGTTTGTTCAATATATGAGTGCAGTTAGGGAGCAAAACTGTCTGTCACTTAGTTGACAGAGGATCGAGCCTCCATGATTTCTTGCTCTGTATGACCCACGTGGATTTAGCGCTCCACAAAATATATAAAACAGATGCCATACTCTAGCCACACGCTCACTGAATGCTCGTCTTTATTACCCAGGAAGAAATTAAGAATCATTACCCAGCGAGGAATTATATTTTTTCTGTCTTGGGAGCGTCTGGGATAATGTTACCTTCCAAGAAGAGGGTAAAAGAGAATGTTGATATGTATCATCCCTGACACCTCAGAATTTCAGTCCTTCCAGACATGCATGTATAGTTATTATGTTGTCTAAAATCTCGAAGCTAGTCCTGCAAGAGACGCATGTGCGGTTATCTTTTAGATATCTAAACACCTCAAATCCAATTTTATCTTAAAAGAGACGTATGTTGACTTATCTTCAGATTTCTTACACTTCATATTTGGTTCTACTAGAAACGTATGTGAAGCTAACTTTTAGATACTAAACACTTCAAATTCAGTCCTACAGAGACGTATATAAAGTTACCTTTTAGAGAGCCACCACTTTAAATTCAGTAGTACTAGAGACGTGTGAAGAGTTATCGTTTAAACACAACACTTTAGATCGCAAGTTCTTCAAGAAGCCTAATATCTTTCTGAAAGCAGCTAATATTATGGATAATTTTGTAATTTCCTTTTATTGCTGAATATGCATTTGTTATGGCCTACTCCATAATAAAAAAAAAACACATACAATCCTCCGATTGCAAATACAAGCAAACAAATACATTTTAAATAAAAAAGGAGAAATTTCATCCGATAAGTATATGAATAAAATGATTGGGAGGAACGTCGGGACGAGCAGAAATACTAGAATTATTGAATATAAAGTCAGCAGGTCACAGAGAACAGCATTGCTTTGTAGGAGAAAAACACATCGATACATTCTTTATGATAAAAGATAAAAAAGAGCTCGCATAGAACTTCCTGGAAACATGCTCTTAAAAGATTATTGGCGAAGTTTAAAGTTTAAATAAATAAGATGTCATTTTTAAAACGAACTTGGTAGACTGAAACGTAGGTTTGACATGAGACGCAGTTTTAATAGACATGATAATGGATACCTTCAGCCTCCCACTGAGAACCTCAGTATTATACCCAGCACATATGGAGGCATTAAATAAATAAATAAATAAAAAGATTCAACTCATTAAAAGTCATTCTAAAAATTTTAGCAAGTTGGTTCGGCAAGCTGATTTGTGTGTAATTTAGACAACTTATTTCTGGTAGAGATCTAATTGCAATCAGATATCTAGGATAAAGCGACAAAAATAAAAATAAAAAAGATTACGACCAGTAGTATCAATTGGGAGGTAATAAGAGTTATGAAGAAGTCAAGAGGGCCTGGAATAGTCTGATAACTTATTTGAGATCATTAAGAATATAAAAGGAGTGGGGCTATTTCACCACCTCGAGCTGTAAATTAAAACTTCAGCAATTCTTTATGGTGTGCATTAAAGCCACCAAGATTAATGGCTTTAATATTTTCGCGCTGAGGAGTGATAACTTCGATGTGTGGAGTGGAAGTAATCCCGTTCTCATGCTGAAGAGTGATGACTTCGTTTTATGAGGAGAAAAATACGTTCTCACGCTGAAGAATGATGAATTCGTTGTATGCTGAGAAAAATACGTTCTTATCTGAAGAGTGATGACTTCGTTGGACGAGGAAAAAAAATACGTTCACATGCTGAAGAGTGATGACTTCGTTATATTGGAAGGAGGAAAACACGTTCTAACACTGAAGAATGATGGCTTCGTCGTGTGGAAAGGAGGAAAATACGGTCTAACGCTAAAGAATGATGGCTTCGACGCGTCTTGAGGAAGAAAACACTTTCTGGTGCTGCAGAGTGATGGCCTCGAAGTGATGACAGGAGAAAAGCATCTTGTAGTGCTGAAGGTGATTACATCGGTGTGCGGAGAAGTGTAAGAGAGACTGGATCACCGGAAACAATACGCAAAATATGACATAGAAACTTATATATGATCAATACAAATTATCAAGGGAAGAACTGGAAGAGCCGGAACGAGCAGTATTTGTCTAGAAAGAGATGGTAAATATTATATGGCATATTTGATTGTAAAAAAAGTTGCTAGATGAGTAGCGTACCCAAACAATGTCTGGGTATGAGAGCCATTAGAGACGAGGTGTTAATAATTTTAAACTATTAATGGTGAATCGAGAGGAAATAACGAAATAGTATATAGAAATATATTCATATCTTTGATTACGAGAACTTACGAGATGTTTATATATATATTCATATCAAGAAAAATAGTTTCTTTTTTAACGCGGAGGAAGAAAACACCCACATGTAGCACTTGGGTATCTTTATTCTGAGGACATCTTCCCAGTGTCGTTATCAGATGGCGAAACGTCTTCAGAATAAAGATAACACCACATGTTTTGCACGTGTCCCATTCATCAATTTGCCGGTGTTTTAAGCCATTAATGTTACGGGGAGAAACTTTACGTCGTTTGACAAGAGGTTCAGCATCTTCTCAAGAGGGATAATGATCACTCGTTTCAAAACCTCTCTTGCAAAGGTAAATTAACTGACATCTGGGGATTCTGATGGCCCCGGAAGAACGCTGTTTTTGAACACCTTTAGAAGGTCTTTAGAACACGCGTAAAACATCGTTAGAACGATTTTAAAAATATTTTTAAGAACGCCTTTAGACCGTTCTACAACGGCTTCATTACGCCTTCAGAATGTCTATAAAACCTCCTTGAATGTCGTCGAATTCCTTGGGTTTATTATTGCGTTGGGAAGTTTACGTGAGACATGACTGAGCATCTTGAGAAAAAAAACTTCAGGATTTTGGCTAAAATATTATTTTGTTTATTGAAATACTTCAATTCAAGCGATGGTATTAGACGCATATATATTCGATTGAAAAAAGCCTGCTGCGCAAACGAAACGTTTCGGTAATAAGGATAAACAAGTGTGGGCCATGTAACATCAGTGTAGTAATAGTTAAGGAACCAGCAATAATAGTTGACGTAATAATACATAAGAGCATAGGAGCACTGCGGCAAGCCTACTGGTCTACGCTAGACACGACTGATGGATGAGTAATAAGGATATATTACATCTCAGAAGTGGCCGAGGTGAAAACATCACAATATTACCACCGGTACACGAGGAAGCTAACAATGGAAGGAAGGGGAAACAAGAACACTTCAGTAAGTCAAATATCCCATATAGCCAGCCAGGTTCTCTCACATTATGTGAGAGAACCTGGCTGGCTAGGGTCACCGCTCCACCTCTGTGAAAACTTTCCTTCATTTCTTCTGTTGCTACTATTGTAACATTGCATAGCTCCTGATGACGCACGGAGACATGCGAAAGTACTTGAGCTTGGACTTACTCTTTTTTGCAACGTTGCAAGCTCCTGATGTTGTGTTGATTGCAACACGAAAGATTTAGAGCTATCATTCAACTCTCTCCCGTGGTTGGTTTGCATCTTGTATCGCTTGTTTTACCTATTCGTGCCGAATAGGTAAAACTTGCGATTTTGGCTTAAATAGCAAAGCCCTTCTTGCCGAATAAGGCAAGCGAAAATTTGTGTATGGAATAATTTTGCAAAAATCATTCTGAGCCTAACGAAAAAAAAATAATTCATTGTGTTTGTTTGTTATTAAATTATTGTAAACTTATCTAAAAATATATTTAATTGGATTAGTCTAAATTAAATTGCGC